AGAGCCCAAGAGGCCGAGATGTGTTCCTTTCTCGGCCGCAATCGCAAGACGCAGAAGTCAGTAGCGCGACCCAACGCAACATCAACAAATTTACTCCTCGGCCGAGCGCGGCCGACGAGTTGGCACGCCCCGCATTCACCGAAGGACGTAGTTAGCTCATTAATTACTCGGCCTGCGCGCCACGTAGGCTTGGTAGTTTCTAGGGTCAACAGGGGCATAATAATTGTTCAGCGCATTCGGCAGCTGATAAAAAATCTTTCGTCAAGTCAAACATATTTGGAGATAGTATTTTATTCGGCCTTGCAAAAATTCAAAGTGAAAGTTTTGATACAAAAAGCCTTCGGCTTGGAATAAAACATCGTTGGCCTCCTCCATTTATAGTAGGGCCACTTTTGTTTTCTTTTGCTACAAAATAAGAATAAATTATTTTCTTAACCATTCGGCTTTTTAGGCCGATGCTTAAGAAAATAAAGGGGGCAATAAGATGGTGCGGACTTAGAAAAACAAGAAAAAACAAGATGGTGTACTCGGCAGACAATTTTGGTCAAATAATGGTGTATTTGGCAGACAGTTTTGGTCGAATGAATTTGCGAGAGCATGCATGACAATTGTTCGGCAGACAGTTTTGGTCAAATGAATTTATGGGAGCATGCATGGTTGCGAAGCTTGCTCAATTCAGTTTCGATGTGCGGTTTAATATATATATATATATATATATATATATATATATATATATATATATATGTCAGAATGACCCATCACATGAAACAGAAAGAGAGACGCATACGGAAAAGACAAAGGAATATTCATGAAGTTATGGTAGGCTTCCATATGGGCTAACATTTTCGTTTGGTGATGTAGTGATCTGTGAATTCCTAACAGCATTATTTGGCCGAATACAAATCTTTGGCCGAATAAAACATAGTTCGGCCGAATAGAATGGGTTATATATATATATATAGGCTCTACAGCCAGTTCTTCTCGGTCTCGGCCCCATTTACTCTCGATCCCAGTATTTTTGACCGATACTAGTGTTTTCTCGACCCCGACAGTTGAGAGTTGGAGTAGTTCACGACACTGGCAGAGGGAGGTTATGACATTGGCAGAACATAGGTGATTTTAATACCGAGAGACAAAATTTGTTTCGGCAATACGACGAAGTGTTGTTGGCTACGAGCAATTAATTTCCTTAACCATTCGGCTTACGAGCCAAAGCTCACGGAAACTGGGGGGCAATGTTTGGACCTGATTTTACACATCGGCCTAAGCAATCGAGGCCGTTGAGTAAGCATGGTTCTCAACCGTTGGATAAGAAAGTTTAGATATTATTGTTAAGAGATAATATTATGATTTTTAATCATAATAATTATTTTTTTTATAAGTTATCCCGGTTTTTTATGCAAAATAAATGGGATGGAGGCAAGTAGAGTTGTGATGGGGACGTGAGCTTTGAATCAGGTTGGTTTGTTTTGCTGGACATGCATACATGGGATGTAAAGATAATGAAGTGATAGGGGATAAATCCAAACATGCCAAAACGTGTAATTTGCAAAAGAATTGTGCAATATGGAGATTCTATCCTAATGCATGGTTTTTTGGGTTTGGTTTTGTGCACGTGGCATGTGACAATGGAGATGATGGTTTTGCATGGTGATGGCAATATGGGTTTAAAGGTTTCTCATGTTTTTTTAATAAGAAGCCTAGGTGGGTTAGATCTCTAGTGAGATGTGATAAAGCCTAGGTGGGTTAGATCTCTAGTGAGATGTGATAAAGCCTAGGTAGGCTTTATTTATCTGAAGGATATGTGCGGCGTATTTGATACGGTATCAGGGTTTATCTGAAGGATATGCGCGGCATATTTGATACGGGATCAAGGTCAATTCCACAAAATAGAGTTGCAGTTGGACTCTACAAAATTATTTGGCCGCGTCACACAACATTTGCTCCTATAAATACAAAGGTAGTGGCAACGGAAGAAAGACCCCTGCAAATCAATACAAAATTGCCCTGCGCAAATTCTCACAACTTGTGATTTTTCTTTTTCCTTTTTCGCTGACACATCTTCCGTTGGCGTCAACAGCACCGTGGAAGCAACCGGTGATATCTTAAGTCGGCATAGATAGCTCTGTCACCGTAGAATCAATCGGTCTCGCAGTATCTTCCGTTAGCATCAACATCACTGCGGCGAGAACGGTTGATTACCTATCCAAGTCTCGGTCGAGAAGGGTTTCTGAACCCTTATTGGTCGAGGTCATCTCATCAGCCTTCTCGGCGAAGTGAGGTGTTACACGTTATTACGTTCGGCATATTGAAAGCCGAATTTGATATTGAACTTCGTAAGAATAGTAACCTTGTCTTCAGGTTCGAGAGCCCAAGAGGCCGAGACGTGTTCCTTTCTCGGCCGCAATCGCAAGATGCAGAAGTCAGCCGCGCACCCAACGCAACATCAACAAATTTACTCCTCGGTCGACGAGTTGGCACGCCCCGCATTCACCGAAGGACGTAGTTAGCTCATTAATTATTCGGCCTGCGCGCCACGTAGGCTTTGTAGTTTTTAGGGTCAACAGTCACATTTCAGGTGTCGGCTAACACTACTTATTTTCGGTGTCCACTTGAATATATGGGTCAGGGTGTGTCATAATGAACGCAGGCGAGCATGGATTCGCAACGGGGGTTCAAAATCAAGTAGATCCGAATTGAATCTCACAAAAACCCGACTGGATTATCATCGGGAAGACTGTAGGCTCTCGAGGATGGGTGGTTTCACCAGAAAATGGTCAAACAAGGCCGGGGACAGGGACGACGCAAAAATGGCATCATTTGGTCCTAGGGTTTCAGAATAAGAGCAGCTAGGCTCCTTGTGGCTTGCGACGCAGCTTGGCGACTCGGCTTACACGCTTCAGGTCGTGGCTCGCGCGGGAGGTTGCAGCAACCCTAATTTTCTTCTTTCTTTCTGTTCTCACACAATCATTAATTCACCACAACAACATATAAGCAAAATAATATTATAATTCGAAAAGCATAAAATTGGGTTCATGCACTATGTTGAAGATTTCATGCAATTAGAGCTGGAAAAAAAATCAAAATTGAAACCGTATTTTAGAAGTTACTTAGATTGTATGATCAAAATTTTGAGCTGTTTTGTAGCAGAAAATAGCCTCTAGATTCATAGCGCAACGTCTAGAGTGTGCTGATAACATTTTGTTTCATATTTTACTAAAAGAAAGGGAAATGGTGTGGTGATAGTGGTGGAGAAAAAGACTCGGAAAAATTGGTGTATGTTCCCTTGTGCCAATGCCTTTATTTATAGTAAACAGAAAGAAGAAGCAAACTTGCTCACCAAAAACACATAGTCTAATAGAAAAAAAAAATCATCTAAATTACATAGAAATCCTAATTCAAATCTACCAAAATTTACCGAATTATACTACATCAATATTAAATGTAACAATATTGACTATGATCCTACAGTTTTATTTGCCAGTGTATGTCTTTTAGCTAGCTTTATAATAACTTATCAATTTGAATTTTTTGTCCCAACAAGTAAGCTAATATATATTAAAAAATTAGTATGTGTACACACACAAGAGAGCCATATAGTCTTTGGTCTTATTGTCTCAAAAGTCAGAAGAGAAGACCCGAAGAACGAGCACTCCTCCATAGTCCACATTTCTCTACGGTCATATTCGGCGGACAAAATTCTATGCTCCAACGTCTTCGCTCTCCTTTTTTTTTTTTTTTTTTTTTTTTTTTTTTTTTTTTTTTTTTTTTTTTTTTTTTTTTTTTTTTTTTTTTTTTTTTTTTTTTTTTTTTAGCAAATGATATTATTTATATTAAATGATTGAGATAACATGTCAAATTTCACACGTAACTAGCTATAATAATGTTATTTAAATTCATCTTTGACGAGAATTGAAACTAAGACCTTACTTATAAGTGAAAATTAATATCATTAACTCGTAGTACTAAATAACACTTTAATCTTTAAAATTTACAATCAAACTAGATTTTTTTTCTCCTTTCTATATCCCGTGTTCCAATTTCCACATCCACACTTACAAAGTCGTACACGATGACATAGCACCATACCCATATATGGCATTTGATGTTTCTAGTCCTCGACTAACATGAAACGTACAGTCGATTCTTTCCCTTAGTCCCACTAGTCACATGTGATTCCTATTCTTTTATAAACAACTTTTTTTTATTTATTTTTTTTCAGCCAAAGAAGTTAATTAAAATTTTCAAACTGAAAAATTATTTAATCAATTACAATAGCATAATATTCAAACTGGAATTTTTTTTTTTTTAGAGAATGATTTTCTACTCAAGAGGTGTGGGGATTGAACCATGCCACATAAGGGGTTAGCTCTTAACTAAATATCAAACTCAACTCGAATATAATACATCATCGCGATCCATATGAGCAAAACCTGAGACGACTCACTTGAAAATAGAGATAATTATCACTAAATCATAGTACTAGCTGGTCACTTTAATACAGTACTCACACTTGTAGGCTTTGGCTACACTAGCATCAATTAACTCTTGATATAACGTAATTTTACTTCTTAATATTATTCCCAATTGATTAACAAAACTACTATAACAAAAACAAATAATATAACTAAAATATGGACTTACGAAAAATAAAAGAAAATGATTTTCGTACAATTTTCCTCACTCTACGCATCTCTATTTATTTTAATCTATCGATTCTCATTTATTTCATTTAATTCAAATACTAGAAATAAAGTGGCATTAAGACTAAGAAGGTACAAATCCCATCAGCTCATGGGCATTAGTGGAATTTCGCCCTTCTTTAACTGCATTGTCCCTCCATATGCAAGTTAATTTCACGCGGATACAAACCCAATACTTAACTAAGCAACAACAGGCCCACATTTGACCAACAACTAATTTAGTCGTATTTACATACACACCCCTGTCCCACCACCACCAAGTCAAAACGACGACGTCACCTTCGTCCTCAAAAACTCCTCCAACCTCCACTTCCTTCCAAAACACAACAAACTCAAACCTCTCCGTCTGAGAAACTCTGGAGCACCAAACAATCAACTCGCCACTAAAAATGGGGAGGGAGCGGGACCATCTCTACATCACCGTTCCCAACCTCTTCCGCTGCCCCATCTCCATGGACGTCATGCGCTCCCCCGTCAGCCTCTGCACCGGCGTCACCTACGACCGCGCCAGCATCCAGCACTGGCTCGAATCCGGCCACGACACCTGCCCCGCCACCATGCAGATCCTCCAGTCCAAAGACGTCATCCCCAACCTCACCCTCCGCCGTCTCATCAACCTCTGGGCCCAGTCCCACGGCCCTTCCTCGCCGGCCTCCTCTCCCTCTCTCTCCTCCCAGCACCTCGCCTCCCTCGTTCAATTTCTCCGCAATGAGAACGAGACTGAGAAATTCAGCCAAAATATCGTAAACTCATTGTCGAAGACTGCCGATTTCGCGAGGGTCGGCGAGGAGAACCGGAGGTTTGTGGCGAATTTCGACGGCTTCGTCTCCGCCATTGTGGGGATTCTGAACAGAGAAGGCGTCGAAATCGAAGTTCTCGAATCGGTAATTAAGGTTTTGGATTCGATTTTGCCTCAAAGCGGAGTCAACGAGCAATTGAGCCGATTTATTGCGAAGAGCAACGGCAATTACCTCGCTTCAATTCGATTGGTACTGCAGAAAGGAAGCCTGAGCTCGAAGATCGAATCCGTCAAGGTTTTGGATTCGATCGCGCTCGACGCCGAGTCGAAACGATTAATCGCGGAGAAGGAAGGCTTATTGTCCGTATTCAACGATCTGTTGAGCTTGGAAACGTGTCAGGACCTATACGGCGCCGTTTTCTCATGCTTAGCATCATTGTCCGTGAATCGGTCGATTAAAGCCGAGCTCGTCCGGTTCGGACTAGTCCGAGTTGTAACGTCAACGCTGCTAAAGCCGGACACTAGCACTACCCTTGCGGAGAAGTGTTTGAAGCTGTTATCCACCATTGCCACGTGCGCCGAGGGCCGGTCGGCGATCAGCGGGGAGGAGAAGTGCGCGGAGGCGGTGGCGGAGAGGCTGATGAAGGTGTCGAGGGGGGCGACGGAGGACGGCGTGGCGGTGCTGTGGAGCGTGTGCTGCATGTTGGGGGACAAGAGGGCGAGGGAGAGCGTGGCGGGAGGAAATGTGGTGGCGAAGGTGTTGTTGGTGATGCAGAGTGGGTATGGAGAGGGGCATTTTGTGAGGAGGATGTGTGGGGATTTGGTCAAAGTTTTGAGTGTTGGGTTAGGGTTGGGGTTGAGGTATGACACCAAGACTATACATATCATGCCTTGTTAGAAATTGTTCATGATGATAATCTTGCTCATTTATTTTTTTTTTGGAAATTGTGAATTTGGATAAAAAATTTTATAGAAACAAAAAGGAAAATTCTTTTTAGTTTTGTAGTCATTGATCATCATTATGTGATTGATGTTGTATGATTAGTAGAGATATTTTTGTGTGCTGTGAACATGACCCGGTATATTAAGAATAGTATTACAATTCGTTGGAAACTTTAAAAAAAAAATTCCAAGAAATTGTATGTGCTGTGTTTCCGGAAAAATTTCTTGGGTTTGTGGGGATGTGAATATGCAAAATTATGTTGATAAGATGGCTTAAGTGATTAAAAGAATGAAGAAATAAACAACTTTTTGTTAATCTCATGTTAATCTTCTTTTTTGATTTGTTGTTTCTTTTATTGTTAATTCAGAAAAGTTTCATGATGAATTTGTTTGGACTTTGAAAAAGGATTAGGGACAAGAATCCAATCCATCGTAAAAGGGGCAAGTTTTGATATGATTTGCAAGTTATAACTTGTTAAGTAAGAGAACGTAAGGAGATCTATTGTATACTTGGGTAAATTTAATTGGTCTTAAGTTCAAATTTATTTCTAAGTAATTTTGGAGTAATTGTGATCAAATAGTTGTATGCTTTTTTTTAGAGTGGACTTACAAGTCACAGTTGTATTGCCTCAACTACGTTTTATACCAATAATACAATACCATGCAGAGAAATTTACACATAATGTTGTATATTTGGCATGAGACTATCTTAGTGAAAATGTATCCATGCCATAGAAGTCGTCCTCTCTTTTGTGGGTGAGGTAGTTCTGGGCAATGAACCTGTATGAAAAAATATGAGTTGTTGAGCTATGCACGAGTGTCAAACGTAACATGGCTTATTTTCGTATCCCTGGTAAACAAACTACAAAATCGTTGCTCTTAGAACAGTATGTGTTTAATTTCAAAAACGAGACAAAAATGATTGTAAAGAAAAAACACTAAATAAGGAGACAAATTCAGGCTAGTTTGCGTTCGAATTTTACAGGGTAAGGCAACAACTTGGCTGTAGTAGGCATCTGGTTTGCAAAAATCCAGCAGAAAACAATTGTATGGACAACAAATTGCGATGCTCCGATGCGACTCTCTAACAATGTAAAGCTGTTTTGAAGTGGTGAAGGAACAAGGGTCATGGCGCCAGATAACCGAGTTGTATCAGCAACCATTTTTATGAGCCTGCTGCCTCGGCTTCCATGCTCGATTCTGGTAACTTTGTCATCTACAACTCGGACTCAAATATCATTTGGCAGAGTTTTGATACTCCAACCGATACCATTGTATCTGGCCAGCGATTGCTGGCTAGAAAGAAGCTTGTCTCCAGCATCTCCGACACAAATCATGCAAGCGGAAGATTTAGACCTTCAATGTAGCGTGATGGGAACCTAGAGATGTACCTGGAGTGTCCAATTATATTACAACCTGATTGATCGGTATGCTTACTCAAATAGTGGGACGTACAGGGCTGGAGACAATGAGTCACTCAACGTTGATCACAATGGACAGTTATATCTCCTCAGTTACAATATAAGGAACGCTACGAATCAGAAAGAGCTGTTTGACACACACACGTATGTACCACATGATGATTGACTTTGATTGTATTACTCCAGTTATACTTCCATACTATTTATATTTAATTTTAAATTTTAAATGATTTTTAACCGCACGATATACATGAACGGACATAATTATGGGATCCTCCAAATTCCTGAGAAAAGGACGTCGAACAAGAATCTTTGGTTGCTCCATTGTCTCATTTGACGGACTGAAATAACGGAGCTAACAAACTGTAAGTACAAAGGACGAAAGTGAAAAGAAAAAGGCTAAAGGGAGGTAAGTGATAATTCGATTTAAACTAACGGGACCATGAGTGCAATCTGACTCGCTCCTTAACTTGGAAAAGCCAACCAGGGCGTTCCAAGTGTGATGATGAACACGTGCCGAAACACCATTGGATTCTGGAGGGGAACCAGTGAGGCCTCCCGCAGCAAAGCCACACAAAATGATACACAAGCGATCTGAGTCGTCGGCGAGGATCCTTTTCCGTGAAAAATCGATCGAAGAAGCAAAGGCAGGTCACTGAATAAAGAAATAAAAACACAGAAGCTGAAGCTGTTGCGGGAAAAAGCTTGACCAAATCAGGGTTCCCGAATTCGAATCGCCAACGAGGTTAACCAGATTAGGGTTTTAACAAAATTTTTAAGTTACTTTTACCATGTTGTAATTGCTTAATTTTTTTTGCTGAAATTCAGAAATTTGCAGGAAAACTGAAATGGGGGACGGCCTATGGAACCGCCAGCAGCAGCAGCAGCAGCAGCATCAACTGGGTCCCTCTGGCGGCGTGCATAAACGACCTCGTTCCGACTACGGTAACTCCTCTGTGGCCATTTCTCATAGTTTTTTTCTTTAATTAGATGAAATTGCGATTGCATTCGTTTGCATTATAGATTTAGTTGTCAAACCATTTAATTTCTGACTTCTTGTTTATAATTCGAGCGATATTATAATCTAATCGAAACTATGGGGAGAGGGGGATTCGAACTTGGGTGCAGATGGGGAGCACACTGCTCGAGCCAACTTAGCTAGGCCAAAGTCTGCTTCTTCGTGTTATAAGTGTTTTTACTTTAGTGGTTCTTGATGGGTTTCGGGTTTCAATGTAAATTATGTTTCAAAGTGGTGAAATTTATGTGAAGGGTCAAGGGTATCTAGACAAAGGATTCCAGTTCAGTTGTCTGATGACTCTGCTTGTATGTATCTCCCCTTACTCTAGTAGATATGCAGATTCTGGTTTTGTAGCTAGGTGTCTCTTTTCTTTTCTTTTATAAAAATTACAATAAATGTTTTGCTTCCATAGTTCCATGTGTACTCTTACATCTTCGGGGTCTTCTTGAAGCATATAATATAGTCTTAGCCTATCTGTTCCACTTACTACAATTGCGATCAACACTCATACTCGTATGATTCCATATAATAATGTATCTTCCACGAAAGCTTTACTAAGCATATGATTTCTGTTATTATTTTCTTTGTAACCAGATCACAGTTTTTGGCCTTCATGTTTCCTTCGGTCCATTGTTAATGATATTATTTACTGGATTTCATATTTAGAGCAACTTTTGAATGATTTCCACATTAGCGGTAGTTTTAGAAGTTACTGGTTGTTATTAAGTTATGTTCAAGGGGGGAAAACCTTGTTCGGTGTGTTTGCTAAGACCTGTGTGAAAATGGAAACTACTACAAAATCATTCAGGTTTCCAATTACATTGCAAGGTACTTAAGAATGGATCTTTTCCTGAACCCAACCAAACCCCAAACCTCTGAAATTATCAAGTAGATTCTTTCCTTTTAGTGCGGTCAGTCTTCCAATCTAATACTATTCTTCAATAATTATGGTAATAAGATCCTCCATACATATTTATAATGCAATTATGTTTATATACAAATTGATGCATATTATTGGTATACATTTTGATATAACCAAATTCCCCTTTTTTTTCATTTAGTTATTTGTTTGCTGAGTTGTTCTTGTTATAACTTCTTAGTCACTGATCAAAAGCCTAGACTTGTATATTGTATGTAGATGTTTTGATTGGTATGTTTTCTTTGTACTTTTGAACATTGGTGGCAGTTTTACTTGTTCAAATACCACCTAGTTGTTAGTAGTGATATTGTTCATTCCGCACCTTGGGTCTAACTCTGCACATTAAAGAGTAGGTTTTTACCTTGTTAATTGACGGGGCATACTCTACTTCCACCTCATGCTTCTCAATTGGTTTCTTGATTTAAGTTCTTCCATCTGCTTTTTTATTTTTTATGCCTTTTCTCTTGTTCTATAGTTGTAATATATACAGCTGAATTAGGGTCTATTTGTTAATGTTTTCTCAATGTTGTGCCTTTAAATATAGGTAAATTATGCGCTTGGTGCATTAAGTTTGTTAAACATGGGAAACATATTCTGTAAAATGATCTCAACTTTTGTTCTTCAAGTTAGGAAACAACCATTCCACTATTTATGTTGTTTTCAGGGGGATTGTGAAACATGGTGAGTAGTTAGAAACAAAAAAAGGAACCTTTCAACTGGAATAAATGTTTCTGTCATCCTCAGAGGCTCTGTTGTTGGTCCTCACTTTTCACGTATATCTGCTCTCAAAAACCTATACCAAAAAACCAAACACCCTATCGCCTCTCTCTTCCTTTCTTTCTCCATCTCTCTTTGCCTCCTCATCTCTCCCACTTTCTCTCTACACCCTCAAAACCTGCACTCCAGCCCCACTCCGAACGCCTGACCCATTCATCGAAACCAATATGTGGAACCTCTTCTCAACCTCCCCCGCCCCCGCCCCCGCAATGTTGTCGTCTCGTCTCTGATTTGAAAACATTTGGTTGTGGGTTGTTTTCAATATAATAAGTTGGACGTGAATAATTGTTAGTGATAAATTTGGATGGTAGAGTTTGGTATTATTTCAATTTAAACTGGAGTGGTCAAGAATTTGGTAGAACTTGTAAAATGGAGAAACTGAAGATGGTGAATCAGACTTGGTTTCAGTTTAAACGGGGATAGTTATACCGTACTTGTATGGGATATAGAGCGATGTTGGATGCAGCTTTATTTTATTGTATCGGTTTTGTTTTGGTGTCGGAATGGTTATACTGTACTTGTATCTGTTTCTTTATCTCGTTTTGGTGTTGCTTTATTTTTTTATTGCTTTTAAATCTGAAATGGTTATACTGCACGTGTATTGGATATAGGTCTGATGTTGGATGTTTATTGATATGAATGTTCCATTTAATAGGGCTCTAACTCACAATGGTTTTGGTTAGCTTTGATGCGGGCATGGGATAAATCAATTTCACTATTGTGCCGTTTAAAAGGGCTCTTAACTCACAATGTTTTAATATATTTGTTTGGTTCATTGATACGTCTTGTCAAAATGTGTTTACATTAGTTACGTGTTTGAACTTTGATTATAATATTTAGTTGAAAATAGTTTTTCAAAATATTGCTGCCTAATACAAATTCAGTAATTTAATTTTTTTCTCATACTAGCACTGAACACATTTTCACTGTTTTTGTTTTTAGAAACATTTTTTCAAACTATTCTACCAGATGCATTATCTAATGTTAAATTACAAGAATGTTATATCATTTTCATTTTCTGAAAGGTTTTTATGCAGATGGTTTTGTAAAACATCACCTGATAGGCTCTTACTTTTCTGTATTGTCAACCTGTCTTCAGGTCAAGAGATGCATGGTTATTTTGCGCGAGAGGATGATCTTGGTGGTCCTAGGACTGTAAAGGATAACAGATCAATCGGATCAGCATATGACCGTTATCTTCAGAATGCGGTGACTTTCTTAAGCATTTGAAACTATGCCTATTATTATTTGTGTTACATCTCTCTGTTTCTGTACTAAAACATTTGTCCTACTTGCTTCTAAAGGAAATGGCTTCGTACACTTCTGGAGAAGCGAGTACTTTTGGTGGAGCTGGAATGGGAAGGGCTGTTGGTGGTGGAATGACAGGTCCTCCAATGGCTGATCATTCTATGAGGGGCCGTCCTGGAGCTATGTCTTCTGATGTACTAACAAATGGTCGAAATATGAATCTTGCTAATCAGCTCCCAGTTGATTCAATGCCTAGGCCTGGACGTGAAACAGTTCCTTTACCTCTGGATGCATCCAGCACTTTATATGTTGAAGGACTTCCTCCTGACAGCACAAGGAGGGAAGTAGCTCGTATCCTTTATGATGCTTAAGAATTATTGCATATTGCTTTCCAATCTTATTGTTTAACTCAATAGTTTTTCCATCGCTCCTCCTTTACATAACTCTTAAGATATCTTTCGTCCTTTTGTGGGATACAAAGCAGTGAGGCTTGTGAGCAAAGAGTCCAAACACGTATGTGGGGGTGGATTATTGTAAACAATTACTTTTCTTAGTCATTCTGTTTTTCTTGATCACTCTGACTTGAGATTGTCGTTGTGCTACTTGGTTCGACTCTTGGGAAGTTTATAATCTTTCTTCACACTAATATTCCGGTTTGTCCATAATGCAGCGTGGCGGGGATCCTCTTATTCTTTGTTTTGTGGATTTTGAAAATCCAGCCTGTGCAGCAACTGCTCTGAGTGCCTTGCAAGGTGATTGCTTTTTATTGTCATCAACCTTGGTGACTATCAGTGTCAAAGAAAGCTTAATTCTTTCTTTCTGTTTTTATTTGTTTCCTTTATAGCTTCACAAGTGTTATTTTCTATCATACCTTATTCAATCATGTAAAGGGTAAATTTATGTTAAAATTCTTCCATGCATAGTAGGTGTAAAGAGGTTGAGGCAGTTCATAAAAATGTTATAGATGGCTTCTTGTGATTTAATATTGGAGTTCATAATATCTCTACACTACATATCGTGTAGAACTAGCTGGATTGCTCATTATTTTCCCATGTTTGTTGTTTTTGAAAAGCTGGAAGATGCTGACATTTGTGTTGCTGGAAGATGCTGACATTCATGTAATTCCATGCATAGTGTTTTAGTATGTGTAAAGACGTTGAGGCAGTTGAAAAAAAAAATGTTATAGATGGTTTCTTGTGATTTAAGATTGAAGTCCATAATATCTCTACACTCCCGATTGTGTAGAACTAGTATTGCTCATTATATTTTCCCGTGCTCGCGGTTTTTGAAACGCTGGAAGATGCTTACATTTGTGTTGCGTTTGCAGGTTATGAAATGGATGAACATGCTCCTGATTCTAATTACTTGCGGCTGCAGTTTTCTCGGTTCCCTGGTCCTAGGTCTGGACCTGGCCGTAACAAGAGGTGATAGGCATTAGGTGATGAGAAATATCTGTTTTTGATGTAATCAAGATTGCATTTGCTTTTAATACATTCCATATATATATATATATATATATATATATATGTATTGCTCAGGCTTGGGCACACACCAACTGTAAGCACTTCTGATGCACATTGTTGTTTCGAGGTAGTGAATCAGAAACAGTTTTATAGTTGTGCAATTAAACAGAGATCTGATTTTGCACGTCCATGGTCTACAAAATTTGTAAGTGTTTTTAGAAGTGGCAAGTTTCTCAGGCACAAACCCTTTAAAAACTAGTGTGTTTTTTTAGCATGGATTTGCAGGCTTCTGTTACATATATCATATGGTAAGTGATTTCCGCTCGCTTTTTCTCCTTGTACAACTCCTTTTTTCCTAGTTTAAGGGTTGGATAAATCAAATCAAAGGAGAATAAGTGGAAAGAAACATAAGGTGAATGCAGGAGGAGAAAATGGGAACGTGCCGATGACTACCGATCAAACTCGTCTTTTCTTGTAACTTCCAACTGCATGGAGAAAAGCAAGACACTGCGTGATGAGAATGGGCATTGCATGGTGTCATGTCTTGTGGTGTTAGAAATTTGATCCGAGTCCTTCCCATTTGGACTACAGTTAAGGACAGGCTCTACTATGTCCTCCCAATGCTAAGCACTAGGTAGTGGGCTGCCGACTAGTCTATGTGCCACTGTACATATCACATGGGCTTTCAACCCATAATCCTATCCTGCTAGAGCTTCCCCCTACCCTTCTTGAAATTAGTATACCGTCAGGTATGTTGCTGTCTCTCATATCACGTGACTAATGATTCGTTTGGAATTACTTCTTTCAGAAACACTTATACTACAAGTGTTTTTATTGTAGACACGTTAAATCTTTACAAACAATCCAAGTGTTCATTGAAAAATATTTGAAAGTGCTTCTTGAAAAAGCATTTGGCAAGTGCTCCTCTAAAGATAGTTTATACGAGTCAAAAGAATTTCTAATATTTTATCTTTATGCCAATCGCAACAGAACACATTTAGCTTTTCCAGAATCAATCCTAAACTAGTTCTAAGCAAAGAAAGGGCAATATAACATAAGGACAACGAAGAATCTCTCTAACATTAAAGGTTATGTTTGTTCGGTCACTAGACTCAAACAAAAGAGAAAAGTAGAAGTGGGCAATAAATTGGTTTTCGATTACCATCAAATTGGCACAACATTCGGCATTGTTTCGCAAAAGACTGCTTTTTTTTCTTAGCATTAGTTTTACACACACTCTAGTGTGTGGTAAAAACAAGCTAGGGTTTGGTTGGAGAACAAGTCTGAGCAGTTACATGCCATGTGGGCTGGAGGGTTTCGTTTGGTGCCATTACTCTTTTTTCTTGTTCTATCATCCTTGTCGAACTGGAAGAGAAAAAGGAGGGGAAAAGGGAGTTTAGGGCAAAAAGGATACTGAGTTTATAAACCAGGAAATGTCTAAGCAATTTGTTTGTGCCAACGTGACTGTTATCTAAATATAGCGTACTTGTGGTATAAAAGAAAAAGGCAAAAAGGGTAACTGTAAATAGTTGTTGTACTTAAGTGTAAATTGTCCCACAACTTGTCCAGGGACCAGTGCATATAAGTTGTAGCTGCAAGTGCAAGGAGCAACCTCTGGATTAGATAGACGGATGGACTTGGTTTGGTATGATTCCAAGTCGTCGTTGATGTTTCTTCTTCTTTGTGGCCCAGCCACCCAGGACTATAGTCCTTATTTGGTAGGTATTTATTGCAAGGCTAACTATAGGATTGGAGATAGACAAAGGGAGATGGGACATGGAGAATGGTTTGCCAAGTTTGTTTAGAATGGATCGGGATCAATGCCCGTTGGATCCCTAGTAATTGAATATTAGTTAAAGATTCAACGTCTATGAATCTCGGTCTATGTTATGAACTGTTTTTACAATTTTCGTTCATTGTGTATCACGTAATATGCATAATGTTAGACAATCCACTTGTTTTATTTGAGACAACTGTATTTGATGCACTTCCTAATTTCTGTTTTCTGACTTGCTTCAATCTACATTCTCTTGATATTTTTTTTTCCATTTTACTCGGTTTTATGATAGTGAGAACATTCAACATGGCCTCTTCTTCCTCAAGTTGCTTCTTTGTGATACGTATATCTGTTTTTGTACTAAAACATGTATCCTACTTGCTTTTAAAGGAAATGCCTTCGTACACTTTTGGAGAAGCGAGTACTTTTGGTGGAGCTGGAATGGGAAAGGCTGTTGGTGGTGAAATGACAGGTCCTCCAATGGCATGATCATTCTATGAGGGCCAGTCCTGGAGCTATGTCTTCTGATCTATTAACATATGGTCGAAATATGAATCTTATTAATCAGCTCCCAGTTGATGCAATGCCTAGGCGTGGACGTGAAACAGTTCCTTTACCTCTGGATGCATCCAGCACTTTATATGTTGAAGGACTTCCTCCTGACAGCACAATGAGGGAAGTAGCTCGTATCCTTTATGATCCTTCTATGATGCCTAAGAATTATTGCATATTGCTTTCCAATCTTATTGTTTTACTCAATAATTTTTCAATCGCTCATCCTTTACATTACTCTTTAAGATATCTTTCGTCATTTTGTGGGATACAAAGCAGTGAGGCTTGTGAACGAAGAGTCAGGTTTGTCCATAATGCAGCGTGGCGGGGATCCTCTTATTCTTTGTTTTGTGGATTTTGAAAATCCAACCCATGCAGCAACTGCTCTGAGTGCCTTGCAAGGTCATTGCCTTTTTCTTTTCATCAACCTTGGTGACTATCAGTGTCAAAGAAAGCTTAATTCTTCGTTCTGTTTTTATTTGTCTCTTTAAAGGTTTGTAAATTTTTTTTCTATCGACCTTATTCAACCATGTAAATGGAAAATTTATGTTAAAATTCTTCCATGCATAGTAGGTACAAAGTGGTTGAGATAGTTCACAAAAATGTTATGGATGGCTTCTTGTGATTTAATATTGGAGTCCATAATATCTCTACACTCCAGATCGCGTAGAACTAACTAGATTGCTCATTATTTTCCCGAGCTTGTTGTTTTTGAAACGCTGGACGATGCTGACATTTGTGTTGCGTTCGCAGGTTATGAAATGGATGAACAGGCTCCTGATTCTAATTACTTGCGGCTGCAGTTTTATCAGTTCCCGGATCCCAGGTCAAGACCTGGCCGTAACAAGGGGTGATAGGCATTAGGTGATGAGAAACATCCGTGTTGATGTAATCAAGATTGCATTTGCTCTTATACATTATATATATTGCTCAGGCTTGGGCACACACTAATTGTAAGCACTTCTGATGCACATTGTTGTTCTAGGTAGTGAAATCAGAAACAGTTTTATAGTTGTGTTGAACGATCTGATTTTGCACGTCCATGGTCTACAATTTACTCAAGGAATGTTTTAATTCTGAATTGAGATTGTACTGTGCATAGACTACCGCAAAATTAGTACAGAGATAGTTTCCCTATAGATTGTTTTCATATACTAGAGGACTTCCATGGCCAGGGTATCTTGCCACCATATTGTCCCCGTACATTTTCCCTCCATATTAGTTATATATTTATCTGGACATTCTAACCTAATGAAGTCCTACAATCATCATAACTCATTTTACTTAGCTCATGCTCCTTACAATATTTGATGAACTCACATAAGAAACTCATAGAAATTTGTTCCCAGTCATTACCTTTGGACTGCAGTTGAAGCTTATGATACATCCTCCCAATGCTAAGCACTAGCTAGTGGGTTGTCGACTAATCTATGCCACCGTACACATCGCAGGGGCTTTGAACTCTGTCTCAATTATTGTAAAGACGTTAGCCTCTTCAATGAAAGAACCCATAGTCCTATGCTGCTAGAGCTCCCCCCACCCTTCTTGGAATTAATATAGTGTTAGGACATATCGCTCTATTTCTCACATCACGTGACTAATGATTTCTTTGAAGTTACTTCTTTAGGAAACACTTATACTACAAGTGCTTTTATTATATAGAATCTTTATAAGCAATCCAAGTGTTCATTGAAAACGTATTTGAAAGTGCTTCTTGAAAAAGCATTTGGCAAGTGCTTCTTGAAAAAGCATTTGGCAAGTGCTTCTATAAAAGAGCTTATTGGGTCAAAAGAATTTCTAAGTTTTTTTTTCTGCCAAGCACAACAGAATACACATTTTAGCTTTTTCCAGAACCAATCCCAGACAAGTTCTAAGCAAAGAAAGGGCGATACAGCCTGAAGACAACGGAGAATTTCCCTGACGTTAAAGGTTTTGTTTGTTCGGTCACTAAACCCAAAAAAATAGAAAACTTGAAGTGGGCAATGAATTGGTTTTCGATTTCCATTAAATTGGCACAACATTCGGCATTGTTATGCAAAAATATACTTTTTTCTTATCATTAGTTTTACACACACTCTAGTCTGTGGTATAAAATGAGCTAGGGTTTGGTTGGAGAACAAGTCTACGTGGTATCATCACTTACATTACATGCCATGTGGGCTGGAGGGTTTCATTTGGTGCCATTACTCCTTTTTCTGTTCTATAATCATTTTGGAACTGGAAGAGAAAGTGGAGGGGAAAAGGTAGTTTAGGGCAAAAATTTTCCAATCAATTTTTTGGCAGTGTGACTGTTTTCGAAATATAGAGTAGTTGTGGCAAAAAAGAAAAAGGAAAGGGGTAATTGTACATACACATTGTTCCAAAGGGTCAGTTGTCCCACAACTTGTCAAGGGACCAGAGCATTAAGTTGTAGCTGCAAGTGCAAGGAGAAAGTTGTGGATTAGATAGACCAATGGATTTGGTTTGGTTTAATTCCAAGTCATCGTCGTTTCTTCTTCTATGTGGCCCAGCCGCCCAGGACTTTAGTCCTTATTTGGCAGGTACTTATTACAAGGTTAGATAAAGGGAGATGATACATGGAGAACGGTTTGCCAAGTTTGTTAGAGTGGATCCGGATCCATGAGTGTTGGATCTCTAGTAATTGAATCTTTAGTTAAAGATTCAATGTCTCAACGATCTATGCTATACATTTGTCTTTACGAATTTTCATTCATTGTGTATTACATAATATTCTTGACCCTCTTATATGTGACTTCGGCCGACTTCTATCACCCGATATCGTTGTGTAATAACTTGATGAGATAGCCAATGCTTAGGTCATCTTCAATGGAGATGGCTAAAGGTCAAAAAGCTAAAAAATAGTATGATTTGTTCAAAAACTCATCTCCAACCAATGTCAGAGCTATAATTATATGGAGCCCACCATGCCATTATTTGGCTAGTGCCCCTTTCTTAGCCCCTTTTTGGGGCCTAGCTCCTCGATTATGCCATCTGCAATGAAGAGGGCTAAATGTCTAAAAGCCAAAAAATGACATGATTTACCCAAAAACTCATCTCCAACCAATAGCTAGGTTATAATTCTATGGATTCAACAGTTAGATTTGGAAACATCCAATGTTAGTTTAATTAAATTAAAGTATAAACTTAAAACTAATAAATTATTAGGGAGCCTATGTTTTAGCCCTTTCGGTTGGAGATGGTATATGAGTATGGCCGACACTATTCATTTAAAAATAATTTTTTTGTTGGGTTATAATTTTGGATGAGGCTATGTCTAGCCCTTTTGGTTGGAGATGACCTTACAATGATTAATTCAAATTCAATGGTTAAATTTGAAAATATCCAACAAAACATCCAACAGTAGTTTAATTAAATTAATCAATAATTTTAAGTATAAACTCAGAACTAATAAATTATTGAGGGAGTTATGTTTAGCCTTTTCGGTTGGAAATGATATATGAGTATGGCCTAATACTGTTTATTAAAAAAAAAATCTTTAGTTATCTCTGCTAATCAATAAAACACTCATTGTCAACCAAAATCCTATGAAATTACCAGTTTAACCTTCTAATTAAAACAAAACATGAATAAGAAATATGGGGCGGAAATTTAATTTTACACAAACAAAATTTGTTGTTTTTTTTTTTCAAAACTTCATCTATATATAATTCTAACATATCTCTAATTATAAAATAAATAAAAAATAAAAATAAAAACTTCCTACTCCCACATTCTCTATCACTCCCTTCCTCTCTTCTTTTATTTTAAAACAAAAAAAAAAATTTCACATACTTTATATATGCCCATATGCTAGTAATTATAAACGAAACTATATTTAACTATTTCGTTGAAAATGACCGTACGAGTATGTAAATTTTGAAATGTGAGTTGTCGTTCACTACGCAAGCAAAGATCGAAAGCCTTCATGTACCGAGGGGTCCCACTCCTTGAATCAGAATAAAAGTGCTTTGAAAAAGTCCCTTTAATTATGTCCAAGTTTGGATAAAATTTGTCCATGCATGGCATGCACTCACTGACTGATCTCGTCGTCCTGAAGGGTAAGAGAGGTAAATTCCAGAATAACCCACGAGGCACTGTATGAAGCCTGTCAATTACATCAACTCATCAAGCTTTCAATCTTTTCATGGCATGCCTAACTTCTGTGAAATATGCTCAACATTTAACATTTTGTAAACCAAAAAGAGAGTAAGAGAGAGATGATTGAAGTAATAAAGTAAAAGCGAAATGCATGCATTGATAAAAGGAAATTTTAACAAAAAAAATTTCGGTACTGTTTACTTTAACAAAAAATTATATTTTTACATTAAAAAGTCAATTCTAATACTATTCATTTTACCCTTTATTTGTTCTTTATTGTTAAAAATCAAATTTTTCAATCCATTTTTATTAGTTTTCCTTTGATAAAAGGAGAAAGATGCATGGAGAACTGGTTTTTTATTTTATTATTATTTTTTTTACAAACAATAATATTAGAGTGGATTAAGTTATTAGCTGTTAGCGAGAAGAGGATCAATAATAATCAAACTAGCACCCGGATGTATAAGCATAATTGTTTTCTAAAATTGCAATAAAACGTCACTTTCCATATATATATATATAAAAAAAAAAAACTTATTGTTCCTTGTATGATGGATTGCAATCTCAATATCGTTCTTAATGGAACGGCCACAATTAGTTGTTCAGGACATAAACAATATGTATTGTCTTTATATTTAGGAAATTGGCTCTGTTAGCCTTATTACAAACCCAACAATTAAAAATACTCCCAAATTATAATCTCTATTAGCCCTCTTTTCCTTAAATACCACTAACTTGAAAGATGAACTGTTATTCTATGTCTCGACGTTGGATCTCGATGGCATCCAAAAGGGCCTCTCAACTCCCTTCCGACTGTATCTCGACTGAATCACGACGGCATCTCAACGGCACAGAACTGAATTACCCTTATATTTATGAGTTGATCAGACACTCCAATTAAATAAAAATAACTATAATTATGTCAAAATTATTTAGTCAGTCTCACGTATATATAATTAATTCATCAAACACATAAACAAAAAAGTTCTTGTATGTATGCTATACTTTGATTTGTCTCAACAAGAAATGACTCAGTCATCTTTTTATCTATGTCCATTGAGTTTATGGAGGGCAACATATTGAGATCTCAAAAATCTTATTCTCATACAACACACTTTTTTTTTTGAACAAACGATATTATCTACACTAAGGGAAAATGGGTGGCCTAAACCTCACAATGGGCTAGCAATAATGTGGTTCAAATTCACATTTGGCGAGAATCAAACCTAAGACCTCTCACTGACAAGTGAAGAAGAATATCACTAGACCGTAGTCCTAAAAAAAATATAGATCTTATAGTCTTGCAGTGTTTTAGATTAGCTAAAACGTTGGTATCCATATTAACTTACCAAAAAAAATATGTTGAATTTGCTACACCTGGAATTTGTAGCAGATTTGTCATTTTATAAAGGGGTTTTTAACTCATTTAAAAAAAAAGAAGGGGTTTTTAACTTTAATTCTTAAAAAAAATTGAAATTTAATAAAAATCGGATGTTAGATTACATATTAATTATTGTCCTTTAATGTGTTATTAACTCAAATTAATTAATGTGTATTTTATTCAATATCTCACATTAAATATTTGAATTTATGAAAATGAAAATTATAATAAAATATAATTAATATATCAAAATTAGAAAGAAAAAGAGAAATAATTAAAACATCAAAATATAATTAATAAATGAAGTAATTAACATATCAAGAGACTAAAATTAGATTTTAATTTTACTCATGTTTTTAATTTAAAGTTATTTTTATCAAAAATTAAAATGAAGTTTCCTATTTTGTAAATTACAACGATGAAAAATGACGCGTTGCACGTAAGAAACAACATCTATATTTTCTCTTTTGTTTAATATGCCATCAAACATATCCATCACATTTTAAATTTTGTGGAAGTCCCTCTCTCACATTGATAAAGTCTGGTTTGTGTTGGACAGCTGTCCAACAGACAACCCAAAAATCTTCCAAAAACCAACAAACATTTCTGACCAGTCATGCATACGTATGCATGGACCCAATGGCATATAATCAAAAATTTTAAATAATGGGATCGTAATGTCAACTTAAAAAAAAGTTTCATTAAGCTATTTCATCGAACATTTAGTAAGCAATTGTCAATTCT